AACATCCTCAATCAGTAAGGCAGATACCGCACCCCCCACCCCCCCCCCCCGCGGGATCCCCAAACCTGTATGCTCCAAATGGCTTCTGCCTTCTGCTGCATAAAGGCAGCGCACACTCTGAATGTGAAAGAACACAGTAGAGCAGCGCCATAGAGAGGAAGGTAAGATGGGATAACAAGTTTCCCAACAAAACAATGAAAGTTACCCCACCACCCCCACTCCAGGGTAGAGGGCCAGCCAGACTTCATGGGGGGAGGGGCTACAGCTGCAAAACTGCCCCAGGAGGACACACCCAGAAACCTCATCTCCCCCCAGTGCTGCCCTTGTGTCATGTGGGGTGGAAAAAGAGGGGGGTGCAGAGCACAGGGCAGGTGTTCCTAGACAACCCTGGGGGACACTGGACACCCTGCAGGAAGGACAATCACCCTCTCACTGCCTCTCCAGCTCCTCCGGGCCTGTTCCTGCTGCTTTGTCAGCACACACTGTTCCCTGTTCACTGAACTGTCTGGTCAGATACAAATTGTCCTAATCCTGATGGGTTAATAATTTACTTCCCTCTTTAATGAGCATATACCTCTAACTTTTTTAATTGCTTCAAGTGCTTTTGAAATAGTTTCAGGTAAATACCTCAGTTTGCCAAAAGACAGAGGAGAATATAAAATGAATTGTGAATTGAAAATACAACTGCTGATGGGAAGAAGTAAACCCCTTTCTCCAACATGCAATCCAGTAAAGTTTAGGTTCACAAAGTTGAGATGAGGGGTTCACAGGGAAGCCTCCTCGATAAATGGAGCTGGGGACACTAGACAGCCACATGCAAAGGAATGTAAACCAGACCACTGTCTCCCACCTCACACAAAAATCAACTCAAAATGGATAATAGGCTGGGATGTAAGACCAGAAGCCATAAAACACATGGAAGAAAACAAGGGCAGCACACGCCATGACACACATGTCAGAGATATCTCTATGCAACAGAAGGGAATGTGGCAGCAGGGGCTCCAGCACACTCAACAGCTGCTGCACAGGAAGGCGCCATAACGCAGAGAGCCCTGCGGAGAGGGAGGAAGCACGTGCACACCACACACCTTACAGCACAGACAGCAAATACCTACAACTGTTGGTGGCATAAGCAGAAGTCATTTAGAGCTTACAGATTTGGGGGTCCCTTCTCTGATGCCCGTCACCCCCAGAAAGCCACAAGCAGAGCCAGGAATTGAACCTATAAGCACTTTCACTTTTCAGATCACTGGCCATTGATCTGAGAGAATGGGGGGCATCGCACCCTGAAGGGCCCATTCCCCATCTCATCTCCAGCTGACCTTGTTATAATCAGTCACACACAGACAGTCACAGCAAACAGCCATCAGAACAGCCCGTCACAGTTGCTGCTCCTCGTATCCAGCACTTTCAGCCTCCAGACTGTTATCAGCCCCTGGCCTTGCCCAGACACTACACTGCCAGTCAGTTTGCATGAACTCAACAGGAACAGAAATTTTTATGCAGAACTTTTAATTTTGCTTTGTGGGAACTTATATGAACCTCAGACTGAGAGCTCCTAAAGCCAGGAGTCAGGGCTAAGGACCACGCCAAGGTCTCACCATCAGACATGGCCTGCGGTATCTGTATCTTCAGGGAAATCCCTCTCAAGTTTCCCAAGACATCTAGGGTTTCTGGACTTATAGGGGGTTACCTTCTTGACTCTTATGACAGACCCCTTGTGCCCTCAAACAGGTACCAGGTTATTGTTCCCTTACTGGCTCTGAAATCAGTCTGGTTTCTGAAAACACAACATTCCAGACAAAGCCTTGATAAAACACCTGTATTTCCAACTGTCTATTAAAGCGGGGGGGGGGGGGGCGGAGAAGAACATTATTGGATCTACACAAAACACATTTTGAAATGAGAAATCAGAATATTTAGTAAAATTTTACATTTTGGGGGGAGAGAGAGAAAACAGTTGTTTCAGCTTGCTCCTAAATAGATGCAATTATCTATGAGTCAAGTTTTGCAGTTTTCTTTAGTTTCATGATAAATATGTATTTTTTTTTTTTTTTTAGTGTGAAAGAACTTCAAAAGAATTAATGCTCATAGAAAGAAAGAGAAGAACGAACACTGGGAATAAAACACCCAAAGTTCCCCATCCTCTCATGGGTAAAGACCCAACCACACAGCCTTGGCCCAAAGCAGGGCCACTGCGGCCTGAATGGTCCCCCGAGTCTAACGCGCTTTCAGGTGGGGACCTGGGAAGTGGATGGAAGGTGCCAGCAACTCTGGGTCAAAAGGAGCAAAATTAAAGTACAAGGCAAGGGAAAGGTCAGTCTCCCCATGGGTCCCTTCCAGGTGTCTCCTTCCATTCCTCTATGTTCCTGGTTCAAGGCCAAAGCCAAGAACAAGGCGGCTTCTCAACACATCTCCTCCTGTGTGTCCAGTGCTCTCTGAGCTGAAAAACCTTTATTTTCTGAGCAAATCATCCATCAGAACAGCCCGTCACAGCTGACACTCCTGGGGTCCATCATGATCAGCCCCAGAACTTGCCGTCAGCCTCCCGGTAATCATGCCCCTGGTACCTCAGAGGGCGTCAGTGTCCGGCACTCTGGGGCATCAGCAGGGCAGGATCTCAGTTTAAACAAGAGCTTCAGTTCAAAGAAAATAGATCATGAGTCATGTAGTGTGTACGTGCAGCCTCTGTGTGCGCAGATACCTGTAATAGGTATGGGGCCTTCCTCCCTGGCCCCCTCTCAGAAGGACAGAGCTAAGGTAGAGGACAGGGCACTCACTATCTGTATATTTTCAGCCATGTGCTCAGTTGCAAGACCACTCAGGCTCAGAGAATATCAATGAGGTTTCTTAACAAACAGGAAAGCAGGGAAATAAAGAGTTTTGAAGTCAACAGTGGCTAGCTGTGTCACCCCAGATAGTGTCCGCAGTGTCCAATTATCCCAGATTAAGGCTGCCTGTGAAAGGTGGAACAGTCCCATCACAGAGGGCCTAGAGTTGGTGGCACAGCCACAAGCACTGGGTCAGGATCCTAATCACAGTGGCAGCGGGAGGTGTTCCAGAGGCTACTCACCTCTGAGGAGACACCCCAGCAGGCACAGCCACAGCCTGAATGCCAGGCCGGGCAGGAAGAAGGCAACAGCACTGGGAGGTGGTGCCAGACAGTCAGCAGCAATGAAAGATCTCAAAGGTGACCTTGCTGCTGTAGCCCCAGTGGGCTGCATGCCCTGGGGTGGTGTCAGGGGACAGAGAGCCTCTGCTGCCAGATTTGCTGCCACCTTTGTCGATGACACCAACAGTGGCTGGTTGTAAAGTGCTCACCCACTGTCACCCACTGCCACTTCTGCTGCTGGTTGCAGTGGACACAGCTGTCAGGGTGGCCTAGGCCCTGTCCTCAAGCAGCAGCCTCCTGGAGCCTGTCTGAGTGACTGGGGATCCATTCAAACACAGCTGATGCCCTCCCTGCCCCCAGCTATCATCCCTAACCCAGCGAGGAGGGCCTCAGCGAAGCTGTCCTGTGGCACCCACTGCAGGCAGCCTTGGTGTGCCCAGAGGCAGCTCCTCTGGGGGGCAGGGGAAGGGAAGCCTAAGTCCTAGGTGCTCCTGTGCTCAAACTTGGCTTGCTCTGGGGGAGGAGCCCTCTGAAGGCTACCTGCCCCCTGGCAGGATACCCTGCCACCACCTCTAGAGCTGTGCCCACCAGCTCCCACCTGCACATGCAGGTGCCAAGGTAGGAAATCCCCACTGCTGCTGCCAGCCCTTTCAGGCTCCTGCTCCCACTGGCCTCTGACTGTGCCCACTGGGGCAGCCGTACCAATAAAGCTGGCAGGTCCCACCACTCAGGGGGTAGGAAAGAGGTGGGTAAGCCACAGGGGTGGAGTCAGTGTTACACACTATACTATTATATACAAATACATACTTCTGTTCACCTGCTATTCCCCTCAGCAGTGTATTTCAATATATCTGCCTGTTCTGCTCCCAACTCTGTCTCTGGTGAATCCTCTCACTGCCTCCTCCCCTACCCCCAGACACACACCTCTGGCCTACACCCCAGTTCTTCTACACAATAATTAAAAGAAAAATTTTAAAAAATTGTGGCTGTTTCATTAGGTAATTATAGATAAATAATATCTCACTGTTGCAAAGAGAAAATAAAAGATAAAAGCACTAAAATTTGTTACTATCAGGAGAATAACAGTTTGTCAGAAGATGTCACCTTCTGGCCATGTGGGGCACATATACATGGTGTAAAAAAGTCATAACCTGCAGCATCAAGTACAAGATCCATCTCAGACCCAGCAAACAGCAGAGGCTGGGGACCCAGTGGTGGTGCAGGTGCAACAAGACACACTGGGGGACTCAGTCAGCTGGAGTCAGGCTTTGTCATCAAATGAGTCTGATGCCAAACTAGAGAGGGTCCATCTATCACCCCGCGCTGCAGGGCCAGGAAGCCTGGGCTGGTCTGCAGCCCTGGTCAGCAATAGGCGCAGCCTGGCGGGCCTCAAGGGTTAGTTTTGAAGTTTGGCTTAATCTGGCCCTTTGTCTGCTTTCTGCACATCCATATATAAGTATTTCTCTTTCCTTCTGACTTTTCCTTCTTCCATCCATGTCGCCACAGTGGCACGAGTTATGTTTTCTGACCGTGGATGCTGTTTCATTACACAGGGACACACATCACCTGCACATATATGTGTACATGTAATCCCAGTTTCTACTTGATTTTGTCACCTGTCTGGGGCATTCAGGTGGTTCCCATAGCTTGGCTACTGTAAATAGTGCTGCAGTGGTGACGGGAGTGCAGGTCCCTTCACAGGAGAGTATTTATCCTCTGTGAGTAGATCCTCAGTGTAGAACTGCTAGGTCCAATGGCAGAACCACATTCATTCTTTTTTTTTTTTAATAATAAATTTTATTTTTATATTCCCCATACAATTGCAGCCCCCCCATTCTGACCCCAATCTCTCCCCTCCCACCCCCGCCCCCTTAAAAGTGTCTCTGGTTCGTAGTTTTTTGTTGATTTTGATTTTCACTTTCTTATAGATATTCGTTTTCCTGGTCCCTTATTTAAGTTTTCTAGATTCCTTCTTTTAAGAAACCTCAATACTGTTTCCAGAAGGTTTGGGTCAGTTTATATTCCAAACACAATGAAGGACTGTCCCTTTTTTCCATATCTTTACCAGCACTTGTTTCTGGTCTTTTGGATGTGGGCCATTCTCGCAGGTGTGAAGTGGTTTAAACCAGGAGATCATAACGCCACAAAATGTGGGCAAAAAGAAATCCTGTAACACTCAGGCCAACACAAGGCTGTCGCTCACTGTGAAAGAAAATAATGATGAAGAAATTCAGATGAATGACCTGAGTGTTAACATTATCAGTGGTCCCCTGCATTCTCAAGATGTCCTCCTGAAAGCATCCCCATCACCTAGCCCCAGCCTCTCTGCCAAAAAACCCAGCCCCCACTGCAGTCTTTGAGAGACTTACTCTTAGGGGCTGAGATACACTTCAGAGCCCTGGGCACTGCTGCTGCCCAGGGGAGAACACAACAAAACTTGGTCAGAGATAAGACCACAAGAGGGACTGATGAAGGTGACTCTCCCATGGGCTCCATCTACACTGTCCCCAGGGGCTCAGGGATCCACTCACTGATCCATACTCACCTAGAGGGGGAGTATAACTTCCTCTTTGTCTCCCTGTGGAAAGAAAATCATGTGAGACCAGGGAGCAGTCATGTCAGCAGTCATAAAGGAATCATCTAATCCTGCAGAACAGGGGAGTTTCCAGAACTGTGAGTAAAGACCCAGGTCAGGACTGGAAAAAAAGAGGAAAGGAGGTGAAGGGGAACTGGACCCAATGCCCTCTGGGCAACACAGGTGTGTGGATGGTACTTCCCAATAACCAGGTAGGGCAAGTTCTCCCTGGGATATGAAAGCCCCCAGTGGACAAGATCCTCCACTCCCTTCCTTACCTGAGTGTTTCTTCCTCCACATCACAGCTGCAGACACCGCAGCTCCAGTGAGCACAGCTCCAAGGAGAACCAGGCCAGCAATGATGCCCGCGGAGGGTCCTGAGAACTGAGGGGGGGCACTGGAAGGGAAGGGAAGGTGAGACCCTGAGCCCCAGGCCTCATCCTGACCCTCTGAAGGTCTCCAGAAGGGCGCCTGATTCCTCTGAGAAGAAGCTCAGTGCCCACATCCCCCTCCTTACCCCATCTCAGGACTCGGGGCTCCAGCAGCCCCTCATGCTGCACATGGCACGTGTATCTCTGCTCCTCTCCAGAAGGCACCTCCACAGCTGCCCACTTCTGAAAGGTTCCGTTCCCACCAGGCCTGGTGTCCACCAGCTCCATCTCCTGGGTCAGGTTCTCCCCATCTCGTTGCCAGGTCAGGGTGATGTCCGCAGGGTAGAAGCCCAGGGCCCAGCACCTCAGGGTGACCTCATGGTCAGAGGTGAGGTGGAGGGTCACATTTGTCTCCGGGGGATCTGAGGAGAAGGATAAAAATATTCACACTTTGTGTTTTTCCTCCCTGGACACTGAAACAGCCTCACTGACCATCCTCAGAATGAACATGACAATTGGTTTGGACGGAGGAAGCACAAAACCCAGAAACCAGCCTAGTCTGGAGAATCTGGGATAATCAGGTGAGAGCCCAGGGTAGGAGGATGCAGGTCTCGAAGGAGAACACAGACTTTTGCTCCTGATCTGAGTGGAGGGTGAATGACACACAAAGGCAGGAGTCAGATCCAGAAATTTTCTCAGAGAAAAAACAAGGCCTTAAAAGAGAATATTATGGTTCCCAGGATGGCTGCCTGGTCAAAGGTTCCAGGGAAGAGTTGTTTTAGGACGGCCTCCCCTCCCTCAGGAGAGACTGGATTCCTTAACTGTCCAGAAAAGTGGTGTCTTCTGGGCGAGTCTCTCTCTAGCACAGAACATGACACCCAGGGGGACTCTCCCTCTCTGCCCAGAAAGCAGCTGCTGTTCTGCCCATGATTCCATTTCCCTGTGGGGCCCAGGAGAGGGGAGGTCCGAGGCCTCGTGGCCCCTCTTACCTGCGCGCTGCAGCACCTCCTTCCCCGTCTCCAGGAGTCTGCAGAGCCGCGGGAAGCACCTGCTCTGCACACTGTGCCTGACGCGCTCGGCCCTGCCCGCCGCCTCCCACGCGCGCTGGGTGATCTGAGCCCCCGAGTCCGCGGGGGTCCAGGAGCGCAGGTCCTCGCTCAGGGAGGTGAAATCCGCGCCGTCGTAGGCGAACTTTTCATAAATGCCAAGGAGGTTCCCATGGGGTCCCACTTCACAGCCAAACATTTTCTGGAGAGTGTGAGTCCCTGAGACCCGCCCAGTGGTCAGCATAGAGGTCACCACAAAGTCACCCCGCCCTCTCACCCTGAATAAACCTAAACTGAAAATGAAATGCAGGCAGGACAGTCCCTTTCCGGGCGAGGGGCCTGGCAGATCCACCCGCCTCGAGGCGTCAGTGGACCCTGAGACTCTGGACACCCCGGCCTCATGATGGGAATGGGGGTGACCTGACCCTGGCCCCGCTCCGCGAAGCTCACCGTCCTCGCTCTGGTTGTAGCGGCCGCGCAGGTCCCTCAGGAGCACTTTGAACCACTGCGTGTTGTCCCTTTGGATCTGAGTCTCCTAGTCCAGGTCCTCCTGCCCCACCTGCCCCGCCCAGGGCGCCCGCAGCTCCGCACTCTGGCCCGGAGAGTCGCTGTCGAACCGCCCGAACTGCGTGTCGTCCACGTAGCCCACGGCCATGAAGCGGGGCTCCCCGAGGCCGGGCCTGGTCATCGCGGTGTGGAAACACCTTAGAGAGTGGGAGCCTGGGGATGGGGAGGGAGAGACCCGCATTGAACCACCTCTCAACATGGGGCCCAGGTCCCAGGGAGATGGGCCTGGAGGGAAGAAAGGGAAGGGGGTGGGGGGGGAGGGGGCCATTAGAGTGAAAAGGGGGGTGGGCCAAGAAGGGCCCAGACTCAGGGGACCAGAGCAGTCAGGGGAGGCGGGAGGGACAGAAGGGGCCAGAACACAAGGGGCCTGAAGTGGTACAAGAGTTTGGCAGGAGATGAGCCTTTCCTGGGGTCCTGCAACCGCAGTGGGCTCCTTGCTCCTCCCTCCTGGGGCAACAGTGTCCAGCTGGACACGCACTCACCTGCCTGGGTCTCCATCAGGGCCAGGGGCCCCCAGAGCAGCAGCAGGAGGGTGAGGGACATCACACTCCCATCCAGGGGTCTGGGGACAATGAGTCCAGGAGCGTCCTTGGAGACGTTGTAACTGGAGCAGGAGGATGCTGATTGTCTTCCCTGGAAACCCCCAGGAAATGGGAAGAGAGAATGGGGGTGAGTGTGGGGTCATCAAGGCTGCACCACCCCACAGAGCCTGTGAGAGGGAGACATGATGCTGTGACAGTGTGACATCCAAGAAAGGGGAGGTTCCAAACTCCCTTCTCCACCTTAAGAAGGAGTGGATTTGGCTGGGAGAGGCAGCAGCCTAGCAGAATGAAGAAGCTAGTAGTATTTTCAGATAACTGTGAATATTCCACTTTGATACTGAATTATAACTATACAGGTGGTAGTTTCTCAAAGGTTATTTGCAAAGTGAAACCTGAAATAATATCAGGGAATATTTCCTATTCTGTTACATTGCCATAGCCCTCTCTTGCATACTGGTTGTAACTTGTGCTAATGTATGATTGTTTAAGGTGATTCATTGTTTCACTAAGTTACATAGATCTTCAGTGTAAATTACACTGGAATCAAATGATCAAAAAATGTTTTATTATGCTCTGAAGGACAGGCCTCCCCACAATGTTCAGAAAGGGGTCCCCAAGACAGGCCACTTTGGCATGTGAATCATTTCCATCTGAGCTTCATTAGGGGTTCATTTTAAGAATTGTTTACCACTTCTAGAACTACCTAGTATGAAAACTGGTGGTCTTACCCAAAATTAGGGTTATTGCCAGAAACAAGGTTTCTATTTGAGAAATTTATCAAAATGTCAGGACAAACATAATTACAGAGGATCTGGTTTTTGTTTTTGTTTTTTCCTGAGTCACCCTTTCCTTGCCATGTGATCCCCTCCTCTCTCCTGGAGGTTCCAAGCCCTAATCCCACTCCTTGGCTCAGGAGACACATGCTCATTTCCTGCACAGATTTCAGACACTCATTTAGGTGTAGATTCCTTATGCATATATAGGTAAATCTGGTTATTTTCTAGTACTAAAAAAAAGATTTTATAAAATTTCATGTGCTCAGAGTTCTTAAAAATTAGACATTTGATCATAGAAATGAATAAATGAGTAGATGAACTGGAATGTTAAAGTCTCACTCCCACTAAATAATGTAAATGGAAAGGAAATGACAAGCAGAGAGAAGACCTACAAGAACCTGAGTCTATCGACCAGGAGAGTCCAACAAGTTAATAATACAATTGTCTAAAAGAATGGACAGTGGAAATGATGAAAAAAATTCAAGAAAATTCCTGAGCACTCACAGATAAAATGTGCACGCTGAGTGTCCTCCCCATTTCCTCCTACAGAGGATGAGCAGCCCCACACCATGACCCACCCCAGGGACTTTCAGAAAGAGGCTGGAGGAGGACAGACCTTGAGGCCCTCAAGGGACAACTCAGGCCTGGAGGCCAGAAGACCCTGGAGCCAGGCCTGCCTAGTCCTCAGGGGAATCCAGCCCAGACTCCATGTCAGACCCAGGTGAGGGAGGCGCTGGGGGCATAGAAATTCACTTTAGCTGGTCTTGGTCTCAGGGGTTCTTTCCATGTCCCTCCTCTAGTAGGCAAAGGACACCAGTGGGCAAAGGGGAAACAAAAATGATGGACACAGAGAACAGGACAGAGGAAAATCAGCCACAGGGGAGCGGGGACAGGAGAGAGGCCAAGGGTGAGGTGAGGGATCTGGGCCTTCAGCCCTGCCCAGGTGAGCAGGCCCCAGGTCCCGGGAGGCAGGACTGAGGCTGGGGGACAGGGGACTGCCCAGGATGAATAGAGCAGAATAGCTGGTGTGTTGATATGTCCATGGAGATTCTGACCCTGGGGTGGTCTTGGGGGTGATTAGGAATGAGCACAACATGAACTAAGCTAGTGAGGGAACAAGATAATTATAACTCCAGGGCCAATAAAAAAATCAATCCAAGAAGGAAAAGTATACTGGTCTACTTGTTATAGAGCAACCCCGATATTAAACGGGTTCCTGAATTGTTAGGGGAAAAAGGCTGTCCCAAAGCTAATTCCATACAGGCTTTGTGGACTCCACCCCCACCCCAGGCCAAAGACACTGGGAACTCCAAATCCCATCACCACTAAAGGGAAGGTGGCTGGGACCTGAGGGTGGGGTTAAGCAGCCAGGTGGATACAAAAGGCAGACATGTGGGCTTTGGGGCTCTCTCCATTTTGGGGCCCTCGGCCAGCTCGCGGCGTCCGTCTAGCTCTGAGAGTGACTTTGGGGTTTCTAGGTCGTCGGATCGGGTAGGACGCATTAAAGACTTTATTTCCCTATTTTCTCCCTGAGTTGTACATTTTCCTTATTTCTTTTTCTCTTGTAAATAAACCTTTTATTAACCCTTTTGCGTGTGTCTGTAGTAGAGTATTCATAAGTCCCTTTAAAGCGCGCGGGTGAGGACCCACAGCCAGGAACCCGTTTAATATCGGGGTTGCTCTATAACATACTCACTACTACTCAGCTGTGATTGGTTCTCACGAAGTCACACCATTACAAAAGATACTGTTCTGGTCTGTTCTGTGGGTACAAAATTCTACTTTCCTTTGTTTTCCTAATCTTAGATTCTGACTGTTTAAGGTAAAAATTGCTAAGTTACTTTGGAATTGCTAATAAACTATACAGACACTTAATGCCCTCAGCAGTGTACTTCAGTCAATCCACCTCTTCTGTTCCCCACTCTGTCTCTGGTGAATCCTCTAACCCTCCACACCTCTGGTTGTACCCAGTTCTTGTATGCATAAATAAGTAAATCTTAAAAAAAATAATACAATAAAGTGAGAATCAAAAAAATCTGTGTCTATCACTGTCTTAAGCCTCCAGAGTTAACTATAAATGGC